CCCCGCCCCGCCCTCGTGACATCACGAAGGTCAACGACGGGCTGTTGGTTTTAATGTGCGCCTAAATTGAAAGTCAATGCGCTCCGGAAAGGACGACAGACGTCGTTTGGCGCCGCCGTTGCTAGTGCTGTCGATGCGCCCACCTCCGCTGCTGGAATGGTTACTGCTGCCGCTGGGCCCTCGAAGTCGCCGCCTTTTTGTCTCCGCAATCGCCCGACTGTCTTTGATGTCGTTCCCGCCGCTGAAACTTAAAACCCCCGCGGCATCTCTTATCTCTTCGGTTCCCGATGGAATCACCACCCCAGTACTTCTTAATTATGATGCGCAGCCGTCACCTAACCTTTTCGATGGAATGGGATGGCTGAGGGATGTTGATAAGATTTGAATGATAGCTCTGTGGGGAAAAAGTTAGATAGTGTAGATCCCGAAAAAACTTCTCATGAACCCGCTTTTTTCACGGTAATTTCCAACTTCACTGTCCGGAATTTCCACCCCGCTACTCGATCGGTCTTAATAGTGCACTACTTATCACCCCATCGTATTATCTCCTCCCCAACTACCATTACGAACCCACACTGAATTTCTCACTGACGACACCCCCAGTCACCGTATCCTACACGAGTACAGCATCACCGCCAAAGCCTCCACGACGTACATTTGTACGTCGTGTATGTTTGAATGAACTCGGATACCTGATTAATTCTCTTTTATTTCTATTCAATGATTTTGTGGAATCAGATATGCATTCTTACTTCAGAGTAGAGTATGAATGAATTTATGTGGAAACGCTGACGATTTAAATTAAGATCTACAAAGAAGTATTAATGAAATGAAACAAACTGAATTGCAGAAGATGCAGTATGCTTTTCTGAGTACACTTTATTTGATTAGTTTTCATTTTATTTAAATATCGAGTGGTTCCTAACAACTTTCCATCTAAGACGCTTTGCTTGTTTTTTTTTCGCGTCGGAACTAAAATGGCCATTGTAATAGTTAGTTTCTTCCAGCGTCTATTTTTCCAGAATCGTAAAACAATACAACTTCGCATTTTCTCAGCATTATACAAAGAACTGGCATTCTGATGACATCTCTATTCTTCCTGGAGTATCCTGTATTTGCTGATAAGCGGACATCCAAATAATAGCTCCCATTCAACCACACATTGTGTCGTCAAGACGACTTGTATCTTTCGGAAGAACAATCCAATCTGGGAATAGTAGAGACTCTCTCAAATGCTATTAAGGCAATGACCAGACTGCCTGGCCTATGCGAAATTATCGAAAATAACGTGATAGTGTTTAGTTGCTGCATCGTAGTATTTTCAGTTGTGCATGTGAGGCATTCATAGAACGTGGATGCTGTTGTTTAAATTTTTCAGTAGAAATCATAAAGACACCGAAATAGGTACAGGGGTCAGCTTGACCTTCTCCCGGAACGTGAGACGGGCTATCAACTGGATGTATTGTGACAAAACAATGATCCGTGCATTTCACTTGGTCTGTCCTGGACTTTGCCGTTGGCGGTCATCGACCTGCTTACAATGAAACAGTTTTCCCATGCCTTATGTAAACAATGCACCGAAAGGACATGGCCGGACCCCCAGAGAAATACTACTGGAGCAAATATATTCATTTTTACGAAGTATTTTTGTAAATACTTCAAATTGTAACAGTTATTCAGTAGTAGATTAAAGAAAACAAAATTAGATAATCATCTCATTTTTTTAAATCTCTTGAAATGACAGTTTATCAAACCTTTTTTGAATTTGCATCTTCGATAAGATGCAAACTGTTTTATTCAGGTGTATTATCAGTTCCGAAAATGTATCATCTTAAAATATCATGCTTTATATATGGTCTATGTTTACGTGAGAAAATCGGCCAGCAAATAAAATTTCTTCTTCCTGTTTGTTACAGGTGTCCCTGTTCTTGTCCCAGCCATTATGCCGCACAACGTAGAAAATGGGGTAAGTACATAACCACGTAAGAAAAAAGAGCTTGATTAAATTCAGGTGTCTACCAAAATATCGAAACCAGATATGTGTAACAGTCGCTTTTCATCTGAAATTCAGTTCTCTTTAGCTGAATTTGGATGCGACGTGTCCGCTTGTTTTACTTAAATTTTTTTTCAGTATGTGTAGATATTTGCATGGTGACAACCATTATAAGTAGCTAGCATTAGGTCGTGATCGACTTGATGTCTCCCGCTCAATGGCATTCGTGTTCAACTGATTGGCGGAAGGTTATTTTGCAATGACGACTCCTAGTTGTACAAGAGGGGGCGGGAGAAAAGAAAGAAAGAAAAGAAAAAAAGAAAAGAAAAACTAAGGGGAAAAAAGGTGAAAAACAAAACAACAACAACAACAACAACCACAACAACAACCGAAACTTTAAAAAATTATAATCGTGAGCAAGTCTCCTGTCTCGGGTTGTGAACAGGCATATCGTTCGGCCAGTGACATGCGCAGTGGAGTGCTTTGTGTGCGCGATGCGTGGGCGAAGCGCAGCCGCGTGTGCTGACGGCGCTCCGCTCGTTCTGCACAGTAATGAATTGCCCGCGCC